CGAATCTGTCACCACCATGAGTGCCGCGCTCGTTTGTGCGGTGGTTTGATATACTTTTTGGTTCATAACCGTCGAAGACGCCTTAATGGTTTTGCCAAGGTGCGATGATTTTTCCGAAGTCGTATTTGATCGTCCTGGGGTTCCCTTTTGTTGTATAATTGATTGTTCATCATAGCCGTCGGTGCGGAGTAGGCATTCCCCTTCCATCACTCATCTGGCCATATTATTCCGAGCCTTCCTACTCTGTTAGTACCGCTATCATCTTGACAGGCCTGCCATTATTAATCAGGGCTTATCCGCATTTCAGACGACTTGTGTGAATGCCAATTCAGAGGTGGCTAGTGCAACTGCTGAAAATGAAAATTTTGATTTTATATAATGTTTTGAATTTGCCTTAGAAAACATACGCTCCTTGGTGGAAGCGTTGGAGGCTAGCGATTCGACTACAAGTCAGGAACTTGAAGTTTCTGTGGCAGAAATTTTTTTGTTTTTTTTCAACTGAGCTCGTGAGTTTCCTCACTACATTATGAAAAGTGGGTAGAAGTGGTGTGGGAAAATATGCATATGGTCGCCTACATGTGTTGGTGACATTTGTGGAAGTTGTGAGGAAAAGTTTCGTTGGTTGCTGTAGATTTCTACCTGAATTTGTATGTAAACTTCTACAATTGGTGGGGAAAGCGAAATATATATTTCTTTAACTTTGGGTAGAAGTGTACAAAAACCAACAATAGTTTAACAAATTTCCCACACTGTTTCGGCATTTTGAATGGAAATATAGTAGGGTGTAGTTACTGCGTATTATCATATGACAATTTATTTTTTTCGTCTTGTTTCATGTACGCCTCACGAGATCGCATTTTAGCTTTCTTGTGAGACTACAAAATCATTGTTAATCATAACTGCTCTGATTTCGTCAAGATGTTTTTATTTGAGATCAGGGAAAGGCAGTTAACTTTCCTCAGGCGCTTCTTTGTAGAGCTTCCCATGCCTATGATCAAGGTCGACTCTCGAGAACGCATTCCTACTGCACCACTCGATCGGCTCTACCTGTGTCCACTAAACGTTGTTGCCAATGCCCTTGATGGTGTGGACTGGCCCAAACAGACAGTTTATATCGAGCGATCAGCTTGTATGAGCAACGCCGATCTACTATCATATCATCTTTGGAGTTCCCCTTCTGAGCATCGCAATAGACTCATGTGTATTCAGAAAACAACCGAAGTTGCAACGCGTGCATTCGAGGCTGTGGGCGTTGACGCCTTCTTGCTAGCTGGCAGTTTGCTGGGCTGGCAGCGTCACGGTGGCGGGCAGATCCCGTGGGACACCGATGGTGACACGGGCATTTCACAATCACAGTGTGTCACCGTTATGAAAAGAAGTGATTCTAATGCTACTAATATCGCCGGTCTGGTGAAGCCTCACGTCCCCGAAGGTTTCGAACTGAAGTACTTTGGGTGGGAAGGGCACCACAGATCATCCCGAAAATGAATT